AACTTTGTTGGATGTTAATGAAAATGAAATAGGGTTGGACTGCTTTTATAATGACTTCTGAGCAACTAAAAGGTATGATTTAATCCTGCTTGATTCTTGGAACAATAACGACCACTAAAAAATTTAAGGCATGCACTATACAATCCTTAATGACCCTATGTTACTTGATCGTTTTTCAATTCTTTGAAAATTGATCCTGTAATGATGATTTGTAATGCATTTATGACTGTAATTCTTTTCTTCTTCTCTTTTTATTTTATTTTTGATGTGACAAAAGGGGAAGAAATAATGGTAAATATTTAATTAGAAACTAAATCCATTGAGTACCTATTCAGTTGTACATATTGGTCATTTATAATTTTTTTATTTATATTTCTGTTTTTATGGTTATCTTGCTCGGACGACACATTTTAACTTTCTTGTACATAGAACTAAGAAGGAACTTACAAACCTCAGTCTTAGCCTATCAGACTCAGAAGGAGCTTACAAACCTCAGTCTTAGCCTATCAGAATCAGAAGGAGCTTACAAACCTCGTATTATGATGTTGCCAAAGGAAGTTGAAATATTATTTTTGGTTTTCTTAAATATAGAACTAAGGGGGAGCTTACAAACCTCAACCTTGGAACTGTTAAACTCAAGGGGAGCTTACAAACGTCGGACTTTGATGTTACTAAGAAAATTGAATTACTTTTTCTTGAGTGTAGTACCTAGTATGACGTCTACAGAACTCTACTTTGGACTATTAGACTCAGGGGGGCTTACAAACCTCATACCCTGATGTTGCAAAGAAAATTATAACTGCCAAACATTATCCTTTAAATACCTGTGTTTTTCATCATCAAAAAGAGGGAGATTATTAGAACAATATTTGTTCATGACATATTTTCCTTGGGTTTTGATGATAACAAAGTATTGAACTAACAATGGTTTATTTTATGCGTGTTACATGTGTGCATGTTCTTATACTTGTAAATATTATCATCAGAATCTGTTCTACATTAAGTACACTTTGAGAGTTGCTGCACTGCTAGCTTCTGGTGGTAGAATATGAAGAACACTTGCTAAGTGATGTCTGGAGAAGACTCTGAAGCTGAAGGTCTCAGCATCATAAGAAGCAATATTATTGTCTATTCACTTAGTGAATGCAAATTGGCTTCTGGTATCATTCAGAGTTGGTGATAAAGTTGAAGTTGCATGTACTACAGAAAACATGTTGTATTGTCAAATCAGTTTGTCAGCTAGAGTTTACAAATTGCAAGGCTCCAGAAAGGCTAAGACTCCTTATGGATATCTACTCTCAATGGCTCTAATAGTACAAAATCTCTTAAAGACTGAAAGATTAAACATGTTACACATTGGATTAAGATCTTCGAGTGTATTTATCTTCAACGACTCTTGTACTATGGAGTAACAACAAAGACTCTTGATCAAGTTACCTCCTTAACTGCTAATTTTTAAAAAGGCTATAAATATGGCTGAAGGTTCAAACTGAATCTTTAAAAAGGATCAACCAGAAGAAGGAGTAACAAGATCAGTAATTATCAACTTAATGTATATGCAGATTTTTCTAATGTAGGTTATACTTGTAAAAGCCATAAGATTTCTTATACATTGAATATCTTAGAAATCTTAAGTGCTTTAGGTATTTGTTATGGTGATTTCTCGTACCTCTAATACTTGTATCATGTACACCTTGTTTTCTATTCTTCTAAGCTTGTTCAGTAGTTTAGATAAAAGTCTTGTGTCATTGGGATACAAGCAAGGAAGTCTCGAGTCAAGATGCTTGAGCCACGTAAGTCTCTTGTTATGTTCTTAAGTTGTGAAAGTATTAGTCAAATGGATTTATTAAGCAAAAGTCTTGTATCATTTGGATACAAGCAAGGAAGTCTCGAGCCACGTAAGTCTCTTTATATGTGCATGAGCAGTGAAAGTCTTAATCAAGTAGATTGATTGAGCAAGAAAGTATGGAGCTAGTGTGGCTTGAGCAGGATAACTCGATTCATGAAATTTGGAGTAGTAAGTCTTGGCTAGGGAAGGTGCAAACGGAGATTCGTTTCATGGAAACTTGAGCAAAATTTTTGAGTCTGAAGATCTTGAGCAGGAATGCTCAGTACATGGAATTGGAGCAGTAAGTCTTGACCTGAGGGGTGTAAGCAGAGAGGTTCGTTTCATGGGACTTGGAGCAGAAGTCTTAGGATGAGGACCTAAGTAAGGAAGTCTTGGGTTCATGGAACTTGAGAAGGAAGTCTCAAGTGAGGAGTTTGAGCAGAAGTCTTGGATCTTGGGTCTGAGCATTTGTAAAGTCTTATGCGGAATGCATAAGCGATTGCAATCATATTTTTTTATTATAGTGAAAATCTCTTGTGAAGTAAGGGGACTGGACTACTCTCAATTAGGGGAGGAACCAGTATAAATATTTGTGTCTTCTACTATTATTTATTTGCTTATGTTAACATTCTGCTGCTAAGAATTAACCAGAATTTGAACACCAGTTTAGATTCTGAACTCTGATCAGATGCAAACCAAAAAAAATGAAAACACAATTCAACCCCGCCTTTCTTATGTACTTTTCTCACCTTCAGAATCGAGGTCCTGTAATTATTTTTTGAACTATGTTCTGCATCATTGAGGAGTGTTTCCCGGCCAAGGGTAAGATCACCGTTTCAGACCTCGAGACTTGACTCATATCGAGGAGGACATCACTAATCTCCACCACATAAGCCCTAGGATTAGCTACATTCGAGGGGGTGCACCAGCTACGTAGAAGTGTGTTTAATAAGACTAAGATCTAAGGTGTACGTTTGAATCATATCAGAATCACATAAATATGTTACGTATGTATCAGATACACAGTTGAAGCTGGAATTCGTTTAGGTTGTTTCGAAATCACAAAAATGCGTTAAGTCCATATCGGGTATGCAACAAGGTATAAAGTGTTCTTTAAGACATTTGAGAATTGCACTAGATCATTATATTTGTATCGGATGCACAATTTGACCTAGAATGTGTTTAAGTCGTATCAAAATTGCAAAAATGAATTAAGTCCATATTGGATGTATGATGAGCTCGAAATATGTGCAAGTTGTATCAAAATCAATGTAGTGTTTTATGTTTGTATTAGAAACGTATCCCTACATTTTCTTTGTTCTCCTGATCAGAAATTTCTAGCCGAAAGAGGCAAAGACAACACATAGAAAGGAGAAAATATATATTTTTTGAAGAGTTATTTTGAAAATTGGGGTCTTAGAATCTAGAGAGCAGAGATGAAAATGGAAGTCGATCGAATCGGCTCCAATGGACCTTAGTGTTCATTTTCAAGTGTTTCTAAGTCTTCAGATATAAGAGAATTGCAACCCGCGAAGCTAAAAAATGTCAGAATCAAAGGTTAATTCACCTTTTCTTCAATGATCTAAGAAGGTTGTGAACTGGTAAGTTGAATATTCAGATCTGGATCACAAAATCACATGAAAATTCATAGGAATCGAAAGTCGTTCCTACAGATGACGTCATTATTCCATTCGAGAACTAGAAATGGATGTTCTACCTCTCGAAGGAACAAAGAATGATGAGAGGTTGATAACTGTTGGTCTTGGACGGTGGCTTCGATCTCCTTTTCGAAGGCGCTGGGTGGATCTGCATGGTTAGCACTCCAACATTCAAGTCAGTTCAGTATTTAAGAAAAGTAAAGTGAAATTAAAGATTAGAGATTGTGTAGCTTCTCGTAGCATGTGGACTATTTTATATATTAGATCGAATTGAGTGAGCTTGAGAAAGATTGCGTCTTAGTCGCTCGGGCTTTTGGCCGGTCCAAAACAATGTCTATATTAAAAATTTACTACACATGTGGTTTTTTCTTTTTTCTTGTAATATTCTTATTTGTCATGACTTAATTTTACTTTTTTTTTCTTCTAAAAATGTTGGATTGACCAAATCCTTTTCACCATGATTATTTATCATATAGAGAATATCATATATGGTTGATCAATATCAAATGATTTTTTTGAATGAAATGATCTTCCTTTGTATTAATTTTTTCACGTTTTTGTTTGCCATGGCCATTAAATTTGTCTGTTAGAAGTATAATATATCACATTTCATTAGCAAAACCAATGACATAAATACTTCTAGAGTTTGTAATGATAATATAAATAGTTTGTCTTTATAGCAAACTCTATTAAGATCCACCCACAAAAACTATCATCATTAATGTGAATTTCATTATTATTATTATTCTCATGAAAGCATTTGTGTCTTTTACTTTAAAGCAGAAGAAAGTCTGACCACTTGTTACTCTCCTGACCTCTAACTGTGAAAGTTTGGTGCAGACTTTAAAATTGGATATCAATATCAATCCGAATAGGGTTAGTAGGAAGTGATCATTTTAAGGAGTTTTGAAAACAATTCAAGAGCAGATTTATAAGAACAAAAAATCATTTTTTGGATTGCAACATGTTGGAACATATGACTAAAGAGGAATAACATTCTTTTTAATAAAGACATTTGTGTAATAAATGATATTGTAACAAACATTAAAGTAACCTCATGGAGTGGCATGTAACTAGGGTTAAATCTAGTGGATGTAAGATGTTTATGATTGGTGGAAAAATCTATTGGACTTCTTAAAACAGTGATGATTTCATTGTAAAATTTGCTTATATAAAAAGAGACAACTTCTTTACTCATCACAAAAAGATGGATATTGTATTTTCAACCAATTAAATAATAACATTTAATTTTAACATGTTTTAATAGGAAACTGTATTTGAAAGTGAAATAAAACTAAAATAGAAAGACGAAAATATATCATTATAGAATTCCATGAATATATTTTTTAGAGCAAAACCCGTTACAACAATCAAAATTGGTTGCAAACCGCTTGCAACGCAACACCTTCCTTTTCTTTTTCTATCTTCAGCTACACACATAGATATAAAGATCCTTGAGTGAAATAATTTTCTATCAAAACAAAACGAAAAAAGAAAATATAGCAGAGATAAAAATGAGGACACAAAATGCAAAAAACATACTGTTGGTGTTATGTCTCGCCGTATGTGTAGGGATGTGCCAATCAGATATCGAGGAAGATGCCAAGGTCGCTGCTGGAGACATCAAGGAGGGTGCCACAACTGCTTATAATGAAGCCGCAGAAAAAACCGAGTCTTTTGCTAAATGGGCTTATGATAAACTTTCTGGGTAATTCATTATTACTATTCTCATAAAATTATGCCAAACCCCAATTGTTATATTTTCATCCATGACTAATATGCCACTTTTGTTACAGACAATTTGGGACAAAAGAGGAAGCGGATAAAATACATCAAAATGAAAAGTTTTCATTTTCAGATGTTGCCTCAGAGATATCAAATTCATTTAAAAAGGCTGCACCAGGTACATAGTTATTCATTTACTTTCATTGAGTAGATTTACATCAAAATTGTTATCATAGCTTTAAACTATTGTTGCATTAGGTTTACTGAATGGTATATATATGTATATATATTAAAGTGTAATGTTTATTGATTTGCATATAGAGACTTCTAACTCTGCTGAAAAAGCAGCTTCTGAGAGTAATAGGAAAGCAAAAGGTGCATATAAGGAAACTCAAAAACAAACAAACAAGGCTGGAGATGCAATTGGAGATGCAGCAAATGCTGCCAAAGATAAAGCAAAAGATGGTTATGGTGAAGCCAAGAAAACTACAAACAAGGCTTCAGATAAAGTTGAAGATACAGCTGATGCTGCTAAAAATAAAACAAAGGATGCATATGGTGAAACCAAGAAACATGCAGAGAAGGCTTCAGATAAAGTTGGTGATACAGCAAAGGATGCATATGGTGAAACCAAGAAGCATGCAGAGAAGGCTTCAGATAAAGTTGGAGATGCAGCTGGTTCTGCTAAAAATAAAACAAAGGATGTGTATGATGATGCCAAGAAACATGCAGAGAAGGCTTCAGATAAAGTTGGTGATACAGCAAAGGATGCTTATGGTGAAACCAAGAAACATGCAGAGAAGGCTTCAGATAAAGTTGTAGATGCAGCTGATGCTGCTAAAAATAAAACAAAGGATGTGTATGGTGATGCCAAGAAACATGCAGAGAAGGCTTCAGATAAAGTTGGTGATACAGCAAAGGATGCATATGGTGAAACCAAGAAACATGCAGAGAAGGCTTCAGATAAAGTTGGAGATGCAGCTGGTGCTGCTAAAAATAAAACAAAGGATGTGTATGATGATGCCAAGAAACATGCAGAGAAGGCTTCAGATAAAGTTGGTGATACAGCAAAGGATGCATATGGTGAAACCAAGAAACATGCAGAGAAGGCATCAGATAAAGTTGGAGATGCAGCTGGTGCTGCTAAAAATAAAACAAAGGATGTGTATGATGATGCCAAGAAACATGCAAAAAAGGCTTCTAATGTAGCTGATGATACAGTTGATGATGCTAAAGATAATGCAAAGGCTGCTTATAACTGAGCTAAACACAAAGCCGAAGATACATATGAATGAACAAAGAAAACTATCACTACCTAAAATCCCAAGACTAAGTAAGAGATTCATTATTTCTATGTTTCGTAATGTCGAGACATGTTAGTGTATATATTAATAGTTATTAACTCAATAATGTCATAGGATTAGGAGAAAAATCCCATGTTTCTCTACTATCTTTGAGAATGTTTTTGGTAGGTATAAGGGAAATGTGTAGACTTTTGGCAATACTTCACCTGTTGCAAATATGTTGACAGTTTTATATGATTTTGGTTTTATTTATGATTTACTTTTTTTAACAATTATATAGTTTATTTTTTATGCTCATGCATACTTTTGATTCCATAATGTTGTTGATCCGGTAGGACTTTCACTTTAAGTGTTGCTGGTGGAGATGAATCTAAAAATGAATTTCAGTGTGATAGTTTTATTAATTTGTTGTGATGGGTATATCTCTAAACACATTAACAATCAAGTAATTGACGATCCTAAGTATGAAATTTAAGGTTTTAAAATAGTGTGTACCTAAGTTGGGTTTGCACCCCTTCGTATAGCGGGACTTTAGGATTTTGAGGCCATAAGGCCTAGTCATCTCAGATTAGGTGTTCTTTTAGGGCAGGACCATCTCAAGGTTGTGAAATATTAGAATCTTCTAACCAATTGGTGTGTTGAACTCTTTCAAAAAGTAGGTAAGTACCTGTGATTTGAAGCTTCCTTTGGGAATATACTAGATGTCATACTAAGACAACTCAACTGCCTAAGAAATCACTTTTTCGACTAGATTTAGTTTTTTGAGGACCTGGTATATGGGGTAATCTATTTTTTCCAATATTCGATGTCTTTCAAAATACAACATGAGTTTTCTTGCAGTCACCACTACTAGCAAGTCTTTCTATCTTCTAATAAAGAGTCTTAGCGCCCCTAAATACTTCGCTCATGAAATAGACAGGTTGTTATAATCTATATATTTCTTAGACAAGTACTGAGCTCAACGCTTGGTCATTAACTAATAAGTAGAGATATAAAGGTGACACTGCTATCGAGCGTGTCAAGATGCACTATGTCAAATAAGACCTTTAGCAGCGCTTTTTTTGGCCTTTAGCAGCGCTGCCTAAAGTGGTGCTGCTAAAGGTAAAGACAGCGTTTTTTTTATGGATAAAGCGCTGCTATAGGCCCCCTTTAGCAGCACTTTTAGCAACGCTTCCCCCCCAGCCCCCCCCCCCCCTTTTAGCAGCGCTTCTGAAAAGCGCTGCCTATTTCACCCCCTTTAGCAGCGCTTCTAAAAAGCGCTGCCTATTCTCCCTTCTCCCCCACCTTTTAGCAGCGCTTCTGAAAAGCGCTGCCTATTCCCCCCCCCCCCCCTCCTTTAGCAACGCTTTTCTAAAAGTGCTTTCTTTTCTCCTCAATTCCCCCACCCTTTAGCAGCACTTTTACTTAAAAGCGCTGTCTATTCTTCAAGTTTATAATTTTTTTTAAATAATCACTTTTTTTTCCCGATAAACCTGCTTATAACAATTACAGTTACTTTACATATAATCATTGTAATTCACATAAACCTGCTTATATATAATTCAACACAAGCCGATCCTCAGAACAACTTCACAAATACAGTCAATTTACATATAATTACAAAACCGATAACTTTACAAATACATATGACTTCAATATTATTATCCCGCATCAATATTTGACGATACATATACCTTATACAATTTTCAACTCAAAAATGTATTGACATCATTCCTCCTTAATTTCTTCCAATTCTGCTTTCGAGTAAGTACCACACTTGAATTCATCAAAGTACTACATGATATAACAAAACATGCACGATTTAGTTTTAAAACTAATTACTCAGATGAAATATCGGTTAATTATTAAAATAAATCATATAACTTATGAATTTATCCATACCATGATTGGAATATCTATTTGACCCGAGTGAATAATTTCCTTCATAAAGCGCAATACAAAATATCCGCAATCAATCCCATTGCGCTGACGAAGACACTGTAAATGGAAAAAATAAACGATCATTTATCAAGATATATAGTTTAAATAGTTTTATCAAGTAGAATCACTATAACAGTAAAAAAATGTGAAAATATACCTGCACTCTGATCCAGCTAATGTTGTTAGCCTTCCTTTTTGGCACTTTTGCTTCTCTTTGAGATCAAAATATTTGTATAGCTCTAACATAATATAAACGAATATTTAGAACAACCTCACATAATAAATAAAGATAAATATTCAGAACAATATATCTCATCACTTATGTATCAACCATAGTCTTCATATGAGGATATTTTGTTTGATCACCATCTAATGAATCCAGATAATACACGATTTCTTTTATCGGATTAATCGCGACCAACAAGCAGTGTCCACTGTAAAATAAGACAAAAGTTTAGACGGAAATGTTATATAGAATGGCAAAAAATGAATAATTATAATAAATGAATTTAGAATAAAATCTAACCCATGACCAGTATTATATGGCAAAAAGTACAACTTCTCTGTATCTGCGGCCATAAATGATTTGAAAAAGTAATCTCTGGCTACATCTAGAGTGTGATCGATTGACCGTTGCGTTGATACAACTAGCAGATAAGAATGCAAATCTTGAAATCAAATCATGCGGGACCAACATCTTGTCATACAATAACCTTAAATAAAAACATAATCAACATCAGAATATTCATTTATATGAGCAAATAAATTGTTCAATTATTTAATTAAAATTGATCGGAGTATTACCTGATGTAGGAACGCATAACACCGATGCCCAATTAAGAATGTTGGAAAATCTGGTCCAAATCCTCCTTGGCAATTGTTTCGGCATATTCAAAGCCGAAAATACCTTCAACCACATCTATTGTTCTTACATATGTTTCAAGGCACAACCTAAATCGAGGAACAGATGCTTTTTTTGGCTCGGCCTTTTTTTGGTTGGGCACCTTGCTAACTTGTTGCAACTGTTAATCATGAACCTAAAAGTCATATAAATTCAGTAATTAATGTATAATAAGATCATCATGTAACTGTAATAGTACCTATTTTTTTGATGCAGTTGAATCAGTTTCCCGCACAATAATTCCCTTATCTTTTGATTTGGATTTTGTAGGAGTCGAAGATCATCATGTAAATAAGTAAATGTAAATGTAAGAATAACTTTCATGTATAGGTCGTAAAACATTTGAATACTTCATAATGGTGTTCAACCTACCTCATCATCTATGAAAATGAAAAGCGACGACCATGCAACATACAATCCTATTGCGTCTCCTACCACTGTTGCGTCCGAAACATCATCTGGTATAGGCAACAACGCACCCCCTCTAACGCAATATAAACCGATACTTTCAAAAATCCAGCAGGGAGCGGTTTATGGTGAAGTAGGTCTCACAAAGTGTTATGCACTTTTCCCTTGCCAACCATGCGATAAGTTGGTGACGATAAAAATAGCCGACAAGGTGAAATGCCCTAAACAAATAATTAATATGATTAATGTGTCAATTAAGAAAATTGTGCTATATTAATTTCAATGTAATATATACAATTACCTCTGGAAGCTTCTGCGGACAATTGATACTATTTTTATTGCTAGTATCTTTACACTCTGGATCGCGCCTTTCTGACATGTATCTCTCTTTGTCCTTCTGTAATTCACGAACCTGGGCTTTCAATTCCTTAAATGTCTCCATCACTTCTTTATTGCTAGGACTTTTATTCTTTGGCTGCTTATACAGTTTTGATGGAGTGACACCAAATCCCTTACCCCTCACACGCCCAGAATACTCAAGAATATTTAACACCCGACTCAGTAAGCTTCTGCAATCATCGTCCTCATCTGCAGTTATAGTCTGGGATAAAGTCTCCTGAAATATAGATAAAAGCATATATAAATATATTATACACTTTTGAGTTAATGACAAAACTAATGTTGTACTTCCACATTGTTCAAATACTTGTTGAACTTCTTCCTGAACGACTCCATCTCTTCCCACACGAGCAGCCTTCCACACAACATGATCCGGAAGAGATGTTGCATCACTTTTATCCTCTTCTAACTACACATTAAGATGGATAATAAAGCATTCATACCCCATTCTATACTTACTATATTTAAATGCTTTAATATTGTAACAAAGGAATTCTCCAATTATCGCAAGTAATTGGAATTTGCGAACGAACAAGTGCTCCATTGTAACTTGTCAGCATCGCACCGTTAGGCTCAATTAATTAATCTCTTTCATTCCAATGCACATCATACTTTATACCTTTATCTCTCGCACAAATGATTTTTTTCATAATCGGTATTCCTCTTTTAATATCGCCTTCCACGTCTTTTGTTGTTTCGTTTCCATCATGTGAATTTTCCTCGTTGGTGGCCATAATACCTGTAACTCAGAAAATCCAAATTATCAAATGAATGACAAAGAATGTTATACATAATTAATAACATCATCAACATTAAATAATTCTTGAAACATCAATTGTTGATAAACCTTGCAGTAATGTAACAACTTCTTATATAGTTGATAATTTCTTTTAATAAAGCCTTATAATATTAAAAGAAAAAGGTGAAACAACTAAGGAACTATAAAATGAGGAAGAAAATAAAATACCATAAAAAACGAGAAAACTTAAAGAAAGTTATACCTAACATATTTTTTACAAATTAAAATTCTCTTTAATTCTAATAGGGATAGAAACAAAAGTAATTAAAAAATCTGCACTGCTACTTATATTACCAAAAAAATCAACGCAAAAATTCTCTTCTCTAACTATGTGTGTGAAAGTAATATTTGTAAAGTTAGTGTGGCTAGTGCTCTCCAACCATCTATTCTAAAGACCAATATGTCTCAAATTTAACAAGCAAGTTTCATTGACTGTCAAGTCGTTATCCTAACAGCATCACAACACAAAGTGAGATTCAAAGACAAATTCACATCTCAACAAATTAACATAAACTAAACTCTTAACATAAC